ACTTACCAGCGACGAAGTTGAGCACGTGGAAAATCTTGTCTCCTGAGCCAGCGTTTTTCTTTGTCAGCGTCGTTGGCTAGTTGCCATGCCAATGCTACGTCATGGTGGAGACATGTGTGATAACGATGCTAACTGTGCATATTCATTCACACGAGATCATAAGATTGGATACTGTTCAGATTCGAAAACCCACATCAAAGAACAAGTTCAAGAATCCTTGTATATATACTGTGGTTTTTCATTATAATTGATACTTGATGTGCTGTGTCTTTGTTGCTGGTAAAATTTTAATAGAGCGATAATAGGGCAGGCATGGTGAATTACAGGGGGGACAGTTTGCAATTTCAGGGGATGTAGCAGTTGTTTGGGTTGTATTTAGACCTTCAAATCACGTGATAGTGTTACGGACGGACTTACAAACCGATAACAAAGTGGTTACCCGTCTTATAGACGGAGTAACCACAAAAACGACGAATACCTGTCGTCCTGACTCATTCAACCGATCACTGGAGAGGCTATCGGAAGTGGACAATAGAGAAGCTTGCAAGGAAGTATGGGAATCAGAAGTTTAAAGTCGGAGAGGAAGATGAAGTCAATTATGTGGAGTATATACAGAATAATAATGACGACAGTCCATTATACTATATTTAGTACAATTTAGGTTTACTATCACTTATAGCTGTCCAAATGGAACAATATCTTCAAAAATTACAAAATCACAAAATGTCAAAGTGTGATATAATGATTATCATGAGTTATATAATAGTGAATAATAGTTAACATTAGAATAGTTGGGTTTCCTGTGTAGCGGGATCCCTGTGTTAATTTAGGTCACGTGGAGAGAAACGGTGTGTTGGATTAAAACATGAGTTGAACGAGGGTTAAATGGTCATTAAATTTGAACAAAGCCGCTGGTTGGACCAGGTAGTAGTGTCAGATAATAAGTTTTTGTTACGCTCACATAACAATAGGAATTCATTTCACAATATTATTTGTTTAGAATCCAAAGAAAAAGAAGTTAATACGAGATGACTCTGAAATTCCCCTTTTTTGTGTGTGTGGATGATTTATTCCGATATGCAGGAGAAAAAAGAAGACCTCCCTATAGGTAGGATATTAAACTCACCAGCACAGATGAGGATGGGAGAGGTGCCAAGGCAGGTGGTCATGCCACAGACCAACCTGACAGGAGGTGTCCATGACAACGACGCACAAACAATTTTGCTACACAATTTTCTCAAGCAAAGCATGACACTTAAATTACTTATTTTTATCTTCATTTATTTTTGTTTTGTTTTGTTTTTATTTGCAAAAAGTGTGAGTAGTATTGCTTTTCTGTAATAATGGCCATATAAAATTACTTTTTTTTTGGGGGGGGGGATAATTAGATTTAGTGGTCATTAAACATATAGCAATACTACAGTACAAGTCCCATTGTGTCATGTTTCCTA